TTGAACATTACATTATTCTAAAATAAAATAGTCAAGCAATTGCCAGTAAACAATTCGATTTTCAGCCATCCATTTTTCTTGTTTTAAATTTTTGTCATGAAAATGAATTATTAGGATCAAAATTTTGTTTAAATGATAATTTTAATCCAGTTATTTTTCTTGTGTTTATGTTGCTAATATTTTCAATTCTTTTTTATGGTCAAACTTTCAAAAGTGACTGTCACTAAAAAGAGATAGAGCAAAAGAAAATTTTTTGAATATTTTTTTTTGAAGGATTTCATTAAAAAATATAAACTTATATTATTACAGATCATTCAAAAATTGTTTTTTATTATTGAAATTAAAAATTTGGAAATGTTTAAAGGCTTTATCATCAATTCATGTTTCATTTTTATTTTTTCATTTTCCCATTAAAATGATTTATCAAAAAAAAATGGACAATGTAATGACGATTAGAAGGATAAGAGGAGAAAAAGATAATTTTACAATTTTTCATGTTTTGTTTTTTTTTCTTTATTTTTGTGCCATGTGTCCTTCAGGACACATGACCAACAAGGGAAGAAGGCGTTTAGTTAGATCCAGTAGAGAGGACCCAAAGAGTGTGAGTTCAAAACCCGTTAAGGCAGTGGAAAAACTTTTGATTTAGGGGAATTAACAGAAGATAACTGATAACGGACATTTGTTCTTTTAAACATGGCACATGCAACTAGAACAGTCTATCCAGTCCAGTGAGCGAAATAAAGGGTTTATATATATTTCTTCATTAGACATTCCAACTGATTTGAAGAAGGCCATTAAGCATACATTAGAAAATGTTCTAATAAATATGGCGAAAAAGATGAAGAAAGAAGCATTAGTCTGAATAATGTAAAAAATGTACAGGAAATAATTCATCTCATAAAATATAGACAGATACAGATAATGTTAGTTATCAACCCACATGAAATTTCCACATGTTCAGCTAGTTCATTCTAATTAGTACTTTTCTTGTTATGTAAATATTTCTTTAGTAAAGTTATTTCCAGTTATTGCTATTTTATGGAATAAAGTTATTTACCTTCAGTTATGAGAAAAATCTTGTCAGGTTTTCGAGGTTTATTAATGTGCAAATGAAATTTTAATTTTGTTAATGAACATTATTATTTACTATCAACACAATTTTCAGTTGCCTAGACATTTCACATAGAGTGATAATTAGGAAACTTGTAGACTCTTGTGCATATGATTAAGCAGCCAATTACAATGACCTTCTACAAGAAACATAGTAGAATATATATCTACTTTTCAGTGATCAAGTATGATGTTACTTTCAGAAGAAGTTTTACTTGAATTTCTGCAAAACCTTTTACCTGCACAACTTCCTTGAAGGGAAATTTGATTTAAGGAATCATTTGCCTTCTCTGAATTTGTATTATTTAAGCATTCATTGATTTCTTTCTCTTCTTCCACATATTCAGTAGTTTCACTTTCTGTTCTTCCTTGAGGCTACAAAACAAAAATTAATAAATAAGTAATGTGACCATTAGTGACTATTCAAAGTTATTTTGGTTTTATTTGAAAAAGATTTTTTTTATTTTGGGTCATCTTCAGATTTCATACAAAATTAAAACAAATGCTGACATTTTCTGTGATTTTTTCTAATAATTAATTTTGGTAAAATGAGAATTTTTCCAATACACATGAAAAGTTATATACTATTTAAAATTGAATATGACACTATGAGATAAATGCATCACGGTGCACGCACACACACACACACACACACACACACACACACACACACACACACACACACACACACACACACTGTGTTTGAGTAGATGCCCTATTTTTTAAAACAGTGTGTATTCATAACAAAGCTTTAGAGAAAATAGAAACAAAAAGGACACTTATACTTAACATCAGAAAGAGACAGTGGAAATTTGTACAGCACATAATGAGGAAAGAGGGTTTGGAAAATTTGATATTCACAAGACAGATTGAATGCAAGAGGGACAAAGGAAAACATTACATAGCATACCTAATGACCTTGTGTAAATGGATAGTAGAATAGGGTTTAGGAGAGATAGTAAACACAAAATTTGCTAAAAGCCAAAAAGACCAGGGATTTATGGAGAGCTATGATCGGCAACATCCTGGAGGTACCTGGCACTTAGAAGAATAATAATATATGTATTACATCTACTCAAGAAACCTTAATGAGCTCTTTAACTTGAATCCCACTTTATAGGGAAAACCACAACATGAATGCAGTGTTTACTCAAACATGGCTATTTACTAAAAATAATGTATGAAATAATCCAAAATGTTGGATTAAAAATAAATCTATTAAATTTTTAGAAATTGCTTTGTTTACATTTCTGATACTAAAACAGATAGGGGCTTGATTTTGAGATCTGAATGAGGAGATATGCATTTCTTAAATGGACAAATAAAAAGCTTGCTGGGATGAGATGCCCCCTGTGGTTGAGCAGTCTAGAAATTCCTTTAAAAAATGTGTTAATCAGCACTTTTGTCTTTTTCAATAGATTTCATTTTCTATGCTTACTTTAAATTGAAAATCTGCATTTGTAATGACTACAAGATTTGAGAACTTTTGAAAGTTTTGAATAAGAATGGAACATAAGTAAAAATAACAAGAAAAGAAAAAGTATGTTACAATTAAAGAGATCAACGACAGACCTGCAAATTTAGTGAAACCATTCGGCAAAACCATGGTTGCTGATAAGGCAAAAATTTGCAATTTTAGTTCTCCCAGATTGCTCAAAGTATCTGTCATGGGTCCTTACCTATAACTACAGAATGAACTCTTCCTAACACTATGTATACTACGCCTCTCAAGAGAGAGGGTCGAATCGAGTCGAGCCGATAGTAGTTCACTCCAAACCAGACTGACAGTCATACTAACACCTTCCACATCTTGTATTATTATTTCGTGTAATATACCTTCGTTATTTCTACTCTTGTGTTCGTGTTGTTCTTCCTTGGTCCTAACCTGGACCCTAACAGTGGCGACGAGGATATTGAAGAAACGAATTCTACCCGGAGGATATATATATATATATATATATATATATATATATATATATATATAAACAAAACTTTTAGCTATCGGTCGTCCATAACAGAGGCGACGGAGAGATATAGAAAAAAAAAACACAAGTTCTACGCGAAGATAAAAGATAAAAAACTTTTGGGGCATCAACCATAACAGTGGAAACGAAGACACGAATTTTACGTGTCAGCCAGAATAGAATCGAATTCTACGCAGGAAAAGTTTTTCGTACTAAGGTTCCAGAACAACAGACGACAAAGTGAGAAAAAAGGAAAAACCGTTACACAAGTACATAACTCTAGCTACAAAGTACATATTGCGAAAAGAAAAAGAAAGGGGAAAAAGTGAGTTTTTTTTCCTCCTCTTCTCGTGACGATTATTATTAAATTACTACTATGGGCAGTAACAAATAAAGGACGAAATTCTGAAAATGAAGCGGCATTCTCGCAAAATGCTATATGGAGCTCAATCAAAGACTTCACTTATTCACCGGACGAAGACAAAACATTTGCTGCTTACTTCAGAAAATATGAAGATTCATATGAGTTTGATTGCGGGAATTGGTCAGACGCGGAAAAAGTACGTCTACTACTGAGGAAACTAGGGTCAAGCGAATACACTAAATTCGTAGACTACATCCTACCGAGGAAAACGAATGAGTTGACTTTCAGGGAAGCCGTGAAACTTTTAACGGAATTATTTAGTTCGAACACTTCACTATTCCACAAAAGGTGGAAATGTTTAAATTTAACAAAAAAGGATAGCGAAGACTATATAACATTCGCTTCCGTAGTAAACAGACACTGCGATGACTTTAAGTTATCTGAACTCAGCCCTGGCAATTTTAAAAGTTTGATATTCGTCCAAGGCCTGGTTTCGACTAAAGATGCGGAGATCAGACGGAGAATTCTAACAAAACTTAAGAGTGAACCAAAACTGACGCTGCAAAAATTGGCTGAGGACTGTCAGAGATATATAAGCGTAAAAAAGGACTCGAAAGATATCGAAGAGACTGGCATCGCTCACATACGGAAAGTACAACGACAAACACGTTTTTCTCCCTCCTCAAAAACAAACCAAACCAATTATTTTACTACAAAAAGTCAAATGAAACCTCAGAAGAAACCACCACCCGGTCCATGCTATCGCTCTGGGACATTACATTGGTACAAATATTGTCCATATCGCTATAAGACTTGTCTGTCGTGCAATAAAGTGGGACATGAAAGTTCGCACTGTAGAACGAAGAAAGAAAACGAAAGCCGAGTAAGAGTCACTAGAACTGACCAAGCGGACGGGATAAATATACGAAAATACGTACAAGTAGAAATGTTAAACAAAAAAATCAGATTACAATTAGATTCCGGATCAGATTTAACCATTATTAATTTACAGACGTGGAAGAAATTAAACAAACCGACCATTTTGAGAAAAGATGACATAGCTAGGTCGGTAAGAGGAAGAAAAATCAAATTTGAGGGGGAGATTATCTCAAATGTGACGTTCAACGGGATGACCAAGAAAGTAAAGATGTATGTTCTAAAAAATACGGAAAATTTATTTGGAACTGACTGGATGCAGAAATTTGACCTCTGGGATTTGCCGATAAATACGTTCTGCCAAAAAGTGGAAAGGTTATCGACTGAGGCATTGAAGAAATTGAAGGAGAAATTAAAGGAGAGTTTCCCCGATGTATTTTCAGCCGGCCTCGGGAGGTGTAAAAAAAAAATGATGGCCAAAATCGAATTAAAAGAAAATGTACAACCCATTTTCAAGAAGAAAAGTAATGTATCTTTCGCATCATTAGAAAAGATAGACGAAGAGTTGGATAGACACGTGAAAACCGGTATATTGACAAAGGTGGAATATAGTCAATGGGCCGCATCTACGGTTTACGTGAAAAAGAAATCAGGTGAGATAAGAGTATGCGTTGATTTCTCGACGGGATTGAATGCAGCGATTAAGGATTATCACTATCCTCTCCCTAGTCCAGAGGAAGTTTTCACAAAGTTGAAGGGAGGAAAATTTTTCTCAAAAATAGACTTGAGCGAAGCATACCTACTAGTACCAGTAGATGAGGAAAGCTCGAGGTTGTTGTGCATAAACACACATAAAGGATTATATAAGTTCAAGTGATTACTCTTCGGGATCAAGGTCGCGCCGGCGATATTTCAGAAAATAATGGACACTATGCTATGTGGACTGGATTTCACGATCGCATACCTTGATGACATTCTGATAAATAGCAAAAATATTGAACAACACTGGAAACACGTTCAAGAGGTTTTCAGGCAGATACAAAATTACGGTTTTAAGGTAAAGGAAAATAAATGTGACTTCTTTATGAAGGAGATATAATATCTGGGCTATATTATTAACGAAGAAGGAAGAAGACCAGACACAGAAAGAGCCACAGCAATAAAAGAAAAAATGCTGGCTCCAAAAAATTTAGCCGAGTTACAAAGTTTCTGATAAAATTATTGTAGTTAAACTGAAAGGGAGGCCTTTTAACATGTCCATCATAGATGTATATACACCGACAGCACAGTGCGGAAAAAAGAAACTAAAAAGTTTTACTATATGCTAGACAATGCCAAGGCTCAATGCAAATTGAAACAAATTACAATAATCATGGGAGACCTGAATGCCAAAGTAGAAAAGGAGAGAGATGGTTAAATAGGAGGCAAATTCAGACTAGAAACTTGTAACAAACATGGAGAAAAATGAATGCAGTGGGGCACGGTGAATGACCAAGTATTAGAAAAAACCTGATTTTAGGAACACGCAAGACATTTATGAACATGGTTAAGGTCAGTAGGAGAAACGAAGAGCCAAATTGACCACATAGTGATCAACAAGAGATTCAAGAATATGTAGTTTTGCATTCTAAAATATACTTAAGTGCTGACTATGGGTGGGCCCTTAGAGTGAAACTACGGACATTGAAAAGGGCCAAGGCAACACCCAAACTGCAATACGGTAGACTCCTGAATGACATGAATTTGAAGAAGTATACTGACTGCATTAAAACCAGATACAACGAACTAAAGGAGAAAAAAATTCGACATGGGGCATGTGAAGAGGAGCTTGGGTAATATCAGCAAACAAGATCATCCCAAATAAAACAGGGAAAAAAGAAAGGGGTGGCATGAGGAAAAAGAGGCAACAAATGATGCCATGGTATAACACTGGATATAGGCTATTGCACAAATAAACTAGGAGTAGACACAAGCAGATAAAAGAGAAATGTCTGAATGAAAAATGTGCATAAATAGAAAGAATGAAAATCACAAATAAGGTAGCTGTACATTAAAGAATAAAAAGACAACAGGTCGAGATGGAATTGTAAATGAGATTCTGGCAGCTTTAGATGATTTGGAAATTAACAAAATTACAGACATAATAAACGACAGTGGTGATAAACAGGAAGACTTAAGTGGATCTATTTTTATTGTGCTGCTTAAGAAGAAGCCAGATGTAAATGAATGCAAACTCCATCTGACATACTCACTGGGCTTATTCAACCTTTACAGATGTGACAGTATTGATAACAGACAGAAATGAAACCACAGGAACCTCCACAGAAGATACTAAAAGAAAGCAAGAAAGGGCGAAACATCAATCGTAAGAAGACAGAATGTATATTTGTCAGCAAAAGAACTACTGGATACACCAAAATCAAGCAAATACAAAAATTTAAATATCTAGGAAGTATTTTAAAAGAAGACAGAAAGTGCGACACTAAAATATGAAAATGCATTGGGGTAACAAAAGATGCCTTCCAAAAGGTAAGCAAAGTATTATGAAACAGGAAAATTTTGTAAGGAAAAAAGGGTAGTAAATTAGCAATAATAGGAGGTATTTTGAACACAGCTACCTCAGTCTTTAAGAAATTTATTATAAGAAATAAAGGATAATGGTTAATGACAGGAAGAGAAATAGTAACAATGCTAATATAAGAGACAGAACAAACAGTAATACAAAGAATGTATTGCATCAATAATAAAAGTATTGCAAGAAATGTTCATAAATTACAAGAAAATATGAGTGCATTAGAGTCACAATTGAAAAGCCTACAAATGGCTTTTTAGAGAATTGGTCCAAATATAAATTCCATACAGGTACGGCAAAATTAAATTAAGTTTTCGTCTATATTTTATCAGCTTAGTCTTGTGTTAGATTTAATGATTTTAATTTGTTTTGTGTATAAACATTTGCACAAAGTACTTTTGTAAATATTTAAATGAGCAATCATCTGGGGTCCAGGAACGGATTAATCCACTTAACATTAATTCCTATGGGGAAAACAGTTTTGGTTTACGAACATTTCGGGTTACGAATGACCTTCAAGAACAAATGACGTTAATAAACCGAGGTTCCACTTTAATTCTTTAACTGCAATATTATCAACAATTTTACTTACCTGTAAAGAGCCGACAGCTGTGGCGTTAGAGTCTTTCTGAAGATTTAATGATACCTGTGGACTTACAGTTCTTTCTAAATATTTATTAAGTGCAATGTCTTCAAGCTTTTTGGGTGGATAACGTCGTCTGTTATCATCAATTCTTCTAACTATGCAGGTAACAACAATCACACATACCAATAAACAAGCCGTGACAATTCCCAAAATGATGCCTATCTTCTTGTTCTCATCGTCGGGATGATTATTAAGGTCAGATAAAGTCCACGTTTTATTGCCAAAATCTACTGTTACATAAAGAATAGAAGTATTCTGGAGAGATGGTTTACCGTGATCGATCACAGTAACAGTGAGTTTTATTGGTTTCTCTTGTGCTCTGACATTTGTATTCTTGACAAGCATTATTTCACCTGAGGAATGATTAATCCGGAAAAGACCAGGTGATGCTGGTGAATTTGTGAGAAAATATGACAGTTTTGCATTTTCACCATCATCTTCATCGTAGGCAATTATTTTGGCAACCGGTCTGTTTGTCGCCGTCATTTCATAGATGATTGAAATTGAATTGTTATGGAATGTTGGATACACAAAATATGGTGCATTATCATTGACATCATCCACAAAAACTGTAACATTTGTCCAAGAGGATAGCGGTGGAATTCCATGGTCGCTGGCGAAAACGGTAAAATAATACCTGAGGTTTTTGGAGTAATTTAATGTCCTTTTAGTTTTCAAAATTCCTTCAAGAACGTAAAAATATTCTGATGATTCATTATCATTGGGTATCCAATAGAATAAACGTGCATTTTCATCAGTGTCTAAATCTTGTGCTTCAACTTTTCCGATGAACGTCGAAGAAGCTTGTCTTTCTTTTACATGAAACTCGTAATAGTCTTTCTTGAAAGTCGGTATCTCGTCGTTGACGTCAAGAATACGCACAGTAACGGTGCCTGTTCCTGTCAAAGGAGGATTACCCCTATCTGTAGCTAGAACTTTGAATTCTAGCTCAGGGGTCTTCTCTCGGTCAAATTTGACATTGGTCGTAATTAATCCGACTTGATGGCTAATGTTGAACAAAGAACTCACGGAATCATTTATCAGATCATAATCCATTTTTGAATTAATCCCAAAGTCATAATCCTCAGCAACAACTTGAAATGCTTTGAATTCATTGTTTTCATACTGATCAATTAAGATAGGACTTTTAAATAAAGGAGCATTATCGTTTTCATCGTGGACGTGTACCAGAAAAGCTTTATGACTTTGAAGTTGGGGTTCACCATAATCATAGCACAGAATAGTAACGTTATGTACTGGACATTTCTCAAAATCCAATTGTTTAGCAATCATAATTTGATTCAGACTAGAATCAAGTCTAAAATAAGAATTATTGAGTGAACAATTGACAGCATCTTTCTGGTGGTCATCTTCATCAGAAACTGAAATGCGAGCGATCGTGTCTCCTATTTTATCTGACTCGGATACGTTGTCAGATACGTGAAGTATGAATATATCGGGTTTATTATCATTGATATTTAAAACATTAATATTGACTGAAACAATCGAAGACTGAGGTTGAAACCCATTATCGAATCCCACTACTTTAAATGAGTATTTCGATTTTCTCTCGTAGTCAACTTGTTTTTTTAAGATGATTTCTCCAGAGGTTTTATTTATTGAAAAGACATTCATAACACTCTGTTTTACATTATAGAAAAATTTATAACGAACTTGTCCGTTTTCAGCAGAGTCTGCGTCCCTGGCAGACAGTGTCAGTACTGTAGATGAAATAGAAGCATTTTCATAAATATCAACATTATAAGATTCCTCTGTAAACTGTGGTTTGTTGTCATTGATATCTTTCACTGTCAAATGTACAATTACTGAACCACTTTGTTGGGGAATGCCGTTGTCTTTCGCAACGAGGGTTAAATTATAGAATTTTTTTTTTTCATAATCCAGCTGACTTTTTAAGACCAACCCCATAAAGAATCCATTCTCTTCAAATTTCAAAGCAAATTTATCAAGTTCATTGTATAATTCATAAAACTTGACAGCATTAACTCCTACATCATGATCATGTGCCCCTTTAAGATAAATTATACTTTTTATCTTCAAGGATTCATCAATTTCTCTTGATATTATGGCATTTTCAAAAAATGGAGCATTATCATTGATATCCTCTACAATGATTTTCAGTTGACAAATACTTTTGAAAGTCTTGGGTAATAAAAACATTACCAATTTCATTTTAAGCTCACATTCATCCTTTTCACACAATGAATCACGATCAATCCGATTAGAAGTCAGTAATTTGTTAGATGCTGCATCAATATAGAATAATGGGGTGTACTCATTAATGTCCCTGGAAAATGTAAAAGTGAATTCGTTTTTATCTCCGGGGAAATGTTCAGATAGATCTCCAACAAATGTATTATTTGGTATTTCCTCATTTATGTGGTATGTTATTTCACAAGATGTGGATGAACCGAGAAACAGTAACAAAGAAAAGCAGATGAATTTCAAAGACATATTACAGAATCAATTAAAATAGTTTGATCTCAGCCAAAGTAGAAATTGAAAATCATGGTCTTGCATTTGTTGTTGAGTTTAGGAAGTTTTTAAAATCCAAATGTTTTCTGAAATATAAATGTAACACTTAATTTTCAAGCATAGATTCCAAGTTTTCACATATTTTTAAAGTAAAATTGAATGTTCATATGAAAGTGTAGTGAACTTGCAATCATGAGAAATAAAAATTGTGTAATGATCTCATTATCACGATAAATAAAAAAAGAAATTTTTCCCATAATTCCCTAGTAAAAAAAGGAAATTGCTCTACTGGTGGGAAATTTAGAATCTGGTCTCTCTTCAACAACCTCTTACCATAAGAGCATGTGAAAATGGATCTCTCCTGGAATGAAGACTGAAGATGAGTTTTACTCAAATATTACTTTCTCATGTTGAATATGATTTTTTAATGACAAATTTATCACAAACAAAATAATTCATTCATTCACCAAGACAAACACAAATATCAGAACAACAACATTACAAGACTTTTATATATCTACCAAACAACTAAAACCTTCTGATAATAAATCCTTCTATATATGTATAAATGTCTCAATTTGTTGTTACGATATATATCTATATATTTTACTAAGCACAAAGACGGGAGTCATAGAAGGCTCATCATAACAAAAGAATTCATTATTGTAGGATTTATATTTATAAATTGGAAAGGAGAAGAGTTGATTTGATACTTGTTAAATATGACCAATTCTTCAAATGTAAGTTTATTTTATAATGTAAAAGCACACTGTATGCTGAATCTTTGAAATGGAATTGGATTTGTAAAGAGCATTGGTTCCTTAAAATTTACACAATGTCCACTGACATCTAAATGGCAGAAAGATACCATGTTCTATGATTTAAAATAAGAGAAACAACTCACAGCATTGTCTACACAACTAGATATAATCCCTGGCAAAAATTATGGAACTAGCACTCTTAGAAGATGTAGGTTTTTCATTTGATGGTAAATAAACAGATGATACAAAACTTTTTTATTTAATAGCTGAACATTCTGGTTTCATAAAATATGCCTTAAATAAACTACATTAAATTATTTAAATTAATGGTCTATTTTTTCCAAGCAATACAGAGTAACATATGGAATAACCTAAATTATTGAATGATCTTGTAATTTTCATTCCTAAAACAAATATCAGCAGAAGTCACAATATGCAAATTGATCAACAGTTAAAGGAGATTTTCTTGCAGCTCTTAACACATGGCATCCTTAATTGAAAGGGAACATAGCTCTAACAAAAGAATTGTAAAACTCATTCAAGAAGCCAATTCACAGTGGAGTGTTGCAAAAGATTTCGGTTGTTCTCAGTCAGCTCTGTTTAAACATTTGGTGCATATAAAAAAATGGGATGGTTTAAAAAGGAAAATATACTGGCAGACCATGAAAGACATCAAGATAGAAAACTATAAATAGAAAATATACAACAAAACAAATGAGTTGAAACAGAAATCAATGTCATTGACAGAAATATAAGAAATCATTTGAATGAAATAGATAAAAGCTAAATGAAAAACCAGCATGAACACACAGACAACAAAATGAGATTAAAGTGGGTTAAAGAAAAACAATCATCATGTGTGGACAATTGAATGATAGCAATCATTGCCTTAACAATCAGTGTCCATGTGTACAGTGAAATACTGGATAATTTTCTCAATTCATTGATAGAAAATTGGTTTGGTTTGGTGATGATGAAGTCATTTTTCCAAACAATAATGCATCTTGTCACAGAGCAAAAGTAATTAAAGGTTTTCTTTAGGAAACGCATAATGACATGGCTAATGACATGGCCAGTAGACAGATGTTAATTTACATCCAATTAAAAATTTATAGTGAAAATTTTAAAAAAATGGTCCATGAGAAGGCTTCATCCACCAAATATCTATTAACCACCACTCAGGAATGTTGGAACCACTTTGATAAAACTTAGTGGGATTCATACCTAAAAGAATTAAGGCCGTCATATGAGCTTGTGGAGGGGTTACTATATGATAATTCTATTTTTTGTCAACAAATTCCTTAATTTTTTCATCAATATTGAATTATTCCATAATATGTTACTCGGCATCACTTAGAAAAAAGTCAGACCATTAATTTAAATAATTTAATCTAGTTTATTTAAGGCATATTTTATGAAACCAGAACATTTAGCTATTAAATAAAAATGTTTTGTATCTTATCTGTTATTAGTTTGTGTATTGCTAAATAAAGAACTCACATGAACATTCTCTAAGAGTGCTAATTCCATAATTCCATTTTTGTCAGCTGTTGTAGATAAAAAATTTTTTCACAAAAAAACAAGCAAAATTAAATCTTTTCCTCTATTTAATTTTTACAACAAGAAACATCTCATAATTGCAGAATATATCAGTTAAAAAAGAATAAGATGCTGGAAAGAAAATTGTAATTTTAAATTTACACATCAAGAAAGAAAAAACTGTTTAAATAAATTAGAATTTTAAAATTCAAACATAATGTCTATCCTCATCCACTCAAGCAATTAAGAATTCCTCTGAGTCTGACAATAAAAAAATTTAAAATTGGATAAAAAATTTTGAAAAGAAAACACCAACAGAAATGTGACATAACAATACATAAACATTTGATAACAACACAATTTACAAAAATACCTGTTTTTTTTTACCTTTTTACTGATCGTTCACCCAATATGAGTCCCAAAGTCCACTCAAGGTAAAGGGATGTATTGAGAAAATTGTTTGAAAAAAATTATTCAAAAACAATTATTTGAAAAAATTATTCAAATTGTAAATTGTTTGAATGAAAATTAATTGAAAGGATAATTTTACTAAATGATAATTTAAATACCTATGTTTGAAATACCTATGTGGTCTTGCTTTGAGAGAGTCAATGCTGATTTACTTAGAACTAATAACGCTCTTGAAGAATGGCATAGGGCTTTTTTTGCAGCAAATGTCATCTCATCATC